TACGCAAACACAAATCATGCATTCCGTCCTTAGCAAAGGACGCAGTGATGGCACATACAGACACGGAGAAAGCTGAATTATTAGCTGACAGCCTCCAAACTCAATTCACACACATAATGAAGGAATTTTTTTCTAATACCCCAAGTTCCTTCCACTATGATGTTGAACAATTTCCCTCTCCATGTAGGAGGGACTTGCAATACACAACACTGAGCGAAATTAGCGAATATATAGCTAAGCTCAAACCTGAAAAGGCGCAAGTATTGGACTCTGTTTCTAATCGTATGATTAAACATCTTCCTACCAGCTATATATTTTTCTTAGTAACGTTAACAAACTATTTGTTACTGCTTTCATATTTTCCTCAAAGCTGGAAACGTGCACTTATAGTGTTTATTCAAAAACCTGGCCTTTGCCAATCAAATCCTCAAAATTACAGACCCATCAGCATCTTGTCTTCGTTATATAATATATACGAACTTGTGCTACTTAAACACCTGCCATGATATTCACACGCTCCCGAACCCTTCCATTAATTTAAAATTCTTGGACGGCTATATTTCCTGGTCAAACTCATATAAGTTTCTAGGAGTGATACTTGATTCAAAACTACTCTGGCATCTTCACATTGAGAATACTCTCAATAAAGCGAAGAGCGTCAGATCCCAACTTTACCCCCTATTAGCTCGAAAGAACCATCTGTCTATCAGAAACAAAGCTCTTCTCTATACTTCAATTATTCGACCAATTTTTATGTACGCATGTACCATTTGGGGTACCGTTGCGAAGACTCACATAAGAAAATTACAAGCCTTTCAAAGTAAAACCTTAGGGTTAATCCTTAGTGCAGCCTGGTACGTCCGTACTGATGTGATTCACTCGGACCTTAACATTAAACCAATTGATGATTATTAAAAAAAAATTAGTCAAAATTTGTTCCTCAGAATTGAACAGATTGATAACCGAGCACTTCAGGAGCTTCTTGTTTATGATGCTGGTATTCCAAGTTCTCAAAAACGGCCAAGAGGTCATGGTCCGAGACTAGGCATCTATCCTCCTGCTAAAAGGCGTGGACACGATCACGCCTCTTCAGTTCCAATCCCCGCGCCGTGAAGGACGGACGTCTCTGTCTTCTAAAATTTCTATTCCTCACAGACTATGCCAAATTGATGTCTTCTACGCAAGTTCAACTGAGTGGCCTTCTTTGCACTGTTATCAATCTGTTCCTTTAAAAATCACATCATGCCCGCAGAATTAATTTCTGCCTTAAATATTTCCTCGCGTTTTCTTTACTACATTCTCATTTAGCGCCATATGCCAATGAGTCTCTTAATTTCTAAAATCTTTCCTCTCCGCTTTTTGCTTTTGTGTTCTATCTATGTCATAAAAATACCAAAAAATAAATAAAATAAAATAAAAACACCAAAAATTATAAAAACGAAAGAAAAAAAAAAAAAAATCAAAACTTTTTGACTTAATGATTTTCCCTCTATACCTAATCTCTCTCGAGCTAATGTGGCTCCCTCTAGCTTACATCAAACTAACTATTTATGTAATTGTCCTGTTTCTGCTCACTACTTAGATATTTTTATGATGTGGAGGTACATGGTGGTACATAGGCATTCCGAAATACTTAATCATTGGCAATGGCAGATGTCTTTGATGAACCATCAAACACTGGACGAATTTTCTTGGTTGCACTGGACAACTTAATCACTGTAATATAATGCTTCAGTGCCTTCAGTTGGTTCAACTTCTATTATGCCCTCACTCTCCCTACAACAACAACAACAAAAAAAGTCATCATATTCTTCAAAATAATTTTCTTTAAGCAAACGTTTAGTTGTTTTCAGAAGTCTTGATACAGCTTATCGTAATTATTGTATAGAGGATGTTCTATTAAACAGCGTAAAGAGATTTCATATCGCTGTTCCTTCTTGATCTTAACAGTCTCTTTAAAGTGAAGAAGTGTTTCGTGGTCTAAAGCCTTTCTAGTTCTCTCTTAAATGTGATCAGTTATACCCAGTGATTCTAAGTCCCACAGTTTTTCTAATTCATGATTTTGAAAGCATAAAGATACTGTGTTCAGAACTTCTCATTTTCGATCAAACCCTAATATAGTCCAACCCAATTTTGTTTCGAGAACTGGTAATCCATTTTTCAACACTTCAATTCTTCCAGTTAGAAGGCTTCCTATAATATCTGCGCCAATAAGTAGTCTAATTGGAGGTAAGTCGTTCCCAGCGTCGGACGGCAGAATTCCTTTTGATGGTAGTTGTGATAATAAATTTTTGTCTTAAATGACTTCAGCAAATCTTATGTTGATCTAGAAGTGAAAGTTCTGTTGAATATCTTCCATCAATGTTTTCTGTATAAACATGAAACGGTACTTTTCCGTTTTGCCGGCGCAAGCGATAAAGTCGCCAATAATGGTACAACCGATGCCAAACGGAATATTCTCGCTGGTAACCTTTTACGCCTCATTTTCAAAACAAGTCGCAGCTTTTTTCTTATCAGATTGATTGTTTCTTTCAATACTGGTATATAATTACATAGAATTTTTATCAGATAGTTCAGTTTTATGTCTAAGGCCATTTTCGGTAATTAGGTCAATTAGGATGCTATCACAGCTCTTACCCGAAGCCGAAAATATAGAAAAGGAAAGTCAAGGGTTAAATTCATCAATTCTAATGAGAATGCATTAGTGAAGTAAAGCACTGCAGTTTTACATAATTTCTGAGTAAGCTATTCGTACGCATTGAAATATTTCTTGCATTTAAACTTGTGTTTCAAATTAAGATTTAACTTGATAATTACTGAGAGCATTAGATTTTTGTAGAGTAGTTTACGTGAGATGAGATCGCTTGGAGTCACGTGATATGAACCGGCGAATTAGGATGTTGAACCATGAAAGCATAGTAAATTCTTAAATTGTCTTTTTACAAATTTATTGTCTTTATTAATTGGCTTTTAATAAAGTTTTAAGCGATATTAAAATGTTTATGCCTTAAAAAAAAGAATTCTTAGAACTAAAATTTTTTATGTGTATACTGTATGTTGTCGCCAATAAAGTCTGCTTGGCGAGATTTGCGCCGGCGAAAGGGAAAAGTACCCATGAAACTTTCCATGTTCTTTCAATGGTGGTGTTCCACCGCCACCAAATAACCCTTTGGTATAAAGTTTCTTTTTCTACAGGAGTTAACTTGAGTTCTTGAACCAAACTCATTTCTATATATGGTCTATGAGATCAATCATCAGTAAATGCTGTAAGATTCAGACATTTATTCTTGTGACATAAGCGTACCACTAAAGTTTTTAAGTAGATTTCGTGTAAAGATGGTTTTAAAGCAAATAATGTAGCAGAATTTGTTACCTCTGATTTATTTTCGTTGTTTGAAAATTCAGTTGGTTTTATTTTCATATCTGGACAAAGTATTGGATAATGACGTCTATAACATGCAAAGCATCTTACATTACTTCGACAGCTTTTGGCCAAATGTCTAGGTTTCAAACAAGCTAAACAACACTTTTTTCCTTCATAACCATTCATTTTCTCTCTTCTTTTCTTGAAATTGCAGCTTTATTACAATCTTGGCTAGAATGATTACGCTCACAAAAAAAAAAAAAAAAAAAAAAAAAAAACTAAGCTTCATACTAGGAAGTAAGGAGTTTATTAAAGCAGATGCTGTTGGCTCGTATTTTGGAACTGGCGGGTTACTGTCTTTCGTACTTTTCACTGTATTTCCCAAAGCATTTTCTGCTAAAATTCTGTGCTCTTCAAAATCAACTTCATGTTGCAGAAATGACATTAAATCTTCTAGTATTTTTTCTTTGGTTAAAAATACAGATTCTCCAATATTATTTTGGTGTTGAGTGTGTGCTTGTCCCCAAGCTTTCAAAATATCAACAGGTAAGGATGCTTTTACTACATGATATAGCATAGCAGCATAGTTTTGCGTAGTTATTCCAAGTGTTTCTTATCCTCTTAAATATGATCCATGTTTATCATAAAGTTCTGACAACTTCACACTAGACCTCTTACTCACTAATGCTAAAAGATCTTGTTCATAAACTTCTATGTGAAGGTCGGTTCTTACAAATCTCGATTTGCTCAACAGCTTTAATATAATTATTCTTAGAAGGTGGATAACTTTCCACGCAGTCTCTTGTTTTGGTTTTCAGTTTCAATGAAGAAAGTAAATATTGAAATTTAACTTCTTCTCGTATGTTATCTTCAACATGGATGCGAAAAAAATTGTTCCCAAAATGCAACCCATGTTATAGGAGCTAAATTATATTCTTTTAAATTTAACTTAGGAAGCTTTAAATTCAAGCCAGAAATTGAACTAGAACAAAATATTTCGTCGCCAGGCGATTATACGTACTTTCAAATATAGTTTTGACTTCAATGAAATGATCCCAATATGACTCAATTTGATCGCATTTTTCATCACTATATTCTATATGCTCACACAATTCAGAATCAATCTTAAATAAACGCTGTGACTTATCCAAAATTTTATTAAATATGACTGAAATTTGCTGACTTTCAATCTTCGTCTCAGCTGTCAGCTCATCAAACTGGTTACAAGCAGTCGTAAACTGGCGACATAAATTTTTCTTTCATCAAATTATCCGTAACATTTTCTACATTATCATTCTTCGTTTCGTTCATTTTTAATTTCAGTTGCATAAATTTAAATGTATCAAAATCGAAATTCAATATCGCAGAAAGTTCTAATTACTTAATTCATAGAAGATTCACGGATGCCAAATAATGTTCTATATCAACATAAAAAGTTAACGTAATCTGTTAATTTAAATATATTTATTTACATAACGTACAGTAGTAAAAGTAAGATATGTATAGAACAGCTTAATTAATTTTTAACTTACATTTTATTAGTATATCTGAAAACTAGTTGCCAAATTCTAAAAATTAAACATTATATTTTGGAGTGAAGTAATAAATACAGAAAACGATTCTAGTAGGCAGCATCTCTCTATATTTACAGTTGTTTCTTCCGAAATAGGGGCGATTATCCTAATTAGACCGTTTATCTCAGATAACCCAGAATCTGCTATGTTTGTTTAGAAGGATTTATTTTCTTCATTTGTATGGGTAAGTAAAGTTATTGGAGGTTTCATTTGCAAATTATGTAAGAATTCTTAGCCAAAATACTTGTTTCGGTTTCGATATTCTTCTTTAAAGATTAATACAGGGGAATCTTGTTTTGTTAAAGTTTAGAATAATTCATGAAAATTTTTTAATGTATTTAATTAGTTACTGCTAATATATTTCTTTAGTTCCTAGCCTAAAAATAAATATAATAAAATAAATGGTGTTATCAAAAAAGTTCATAGGAACATAAATAAGCCTTTCTTTTATGCCTCATAATAATATCTGCACTTAATAAGTAGTCGCCACACAGATTTTCAATAGTCAATAGTATGTGCATTTAATGAGTAGTACCCATTAAGATTTTTCGTGTGTCTTGTCCTTCCCCTGCTTGTTTATTCTTATAATTCATTTATGCAAATTTAATTTTGAAAATTTAAATTCATTTCTGAGAAAGTTTACTTGCATACAAACAATTGATGAACTAAATTTCTATTTCTAATCTTTAGATGGAGGTGTTCAAGATGCAGATTTAAAGGAAAATAAGTTTCGTTATATCTCTAGTACTTGTTTTTGGACTATGCTTGCTGTGAAAGTGGCAAAAAATATCTTACTGGCAACTAAAACATTATTTGAAGTATGATGTTTAATATAATTTTGTGTTATTTTCATTAATAATTAGTAAGATGTTTTAAATTATGTTACCTTTGACAGTTTTACCTTTAAACTCCAGAAATTAAACATTTAAAATATTCAAAATTGACATTAAAAAAAGGCATTGTTTTCCAAAACTGAAAGTTAGAATAAAGAACTGAAAAATCTTATTTTAAAAAGAATTTCATAATTACATTTTAAGAAAAATATATTATTTCTTTTTTTAACCTCTTTATTATACTACTGCTTATTTTTCAGCGGCTATTAATCCATTTAAAATGTAAAATTAAGTAAACTCCGCAGTTTTCTCAGAATTCCCCATGTCTTTTGTTTTTATTGCATATAAAATTTGAAGAGGGAAAAATGTGTTTTGCAGCATATTAGATGAGGGGACTGTAATACATGCGTGCATACTTTGTAATAAGTAATTCGCATGTTAAATTTAAAAATTAAGTTTCCTAACTAAAATATATGAATGCATCACAATATTCATTTCTCTTTTATTTAATGGAAAATTTTTATTAGGCTTTTTAATTATCTCTATCCCCATGAAAAGTCAACAGCTGATTGACAAATTTTTGCGTTTTGTTTTGTTGGGCATAAATTCTTGACAAATTTTTCTATTTTCTGTTGTTGGGCATAAATTCTCCATAGTTGCAACCAGAGAGCATTATATTTCTGAAGAAATCCAATGCTTTATTTTTAACCAGCAGGTAAACCGGACACCCCTATTACAATTCATTATAACCCCCATAAAAAGGACCCTTTGATAAGGCCACTAATCAGCAGAATGGTGGTTAAATATAAAGCAATGCATGTATACTCAAACATATGTATGGTACACGCATGAATGAACTGTCTGATGTTGCATATAGCAGTCCAGACTGGAGTTAGTAATGCTGACTGCAGTACTAAAGGCCCTGGCTTTGAATTCCAGAGAAGATATGGATGTTTGTAAGCATATAGTGACTATGCAGCACTCAAATTACACAGCTAGCTGAAATCTTCTTGAGAGGTTGGTGATAGAGGAAGAGGAGTGAGACACCCTCAGATTGCCTACTGGAGTGTTCTCCTTCAGAATTCTTTCCAGGGTGGAAATTTAGCTGTTAGTAAGGCTCGGCGATTCCTAATATTATATCTGAAAGTACATGTGCTAGCCTTGCTTCAGACCTGTACCTGTTGTTGTATATATACTGGAAAATTAACTAAAAACATGATAATTCTATCAAATTTGAAAACTAGGAGTATGGGAAATCAAAAAGTACCACCATTTTTTTTTTTTTTTTAATGTAGGGCAAAGCAGTAGTTTCATTATAATTTTAAAATAAAAATAAATTAATTAATCAGTATTTAGACACTTAAAATAAGTTCGTGATTGTGTTTGTAAATTTATGCTCCATTTCATAATGTATAATCTGTAATATAATAGATCAGAAATTTCAATTTCTGTTATTTTTGGTAAGATCATTAATTACATTCAATTTTCTTATAAAATGCCTATAACAAATACTGGTATATCCCAAATTTCAAAATGTAATTTAACTTAATGCTATCAAAACTGTAGTAGGCCTTCAGAATGCATTCAGTTTCTTTCATTAAAAATTGTTTCCCCTCCAAAAAAAAAAAAGTATTTTACCAGTTATAGCGTTATAATTGACTATTAACCACATCAGGCGGGAAGTGAATTATCATTCTGTCTGAGTAATTACAAGCCACAGAAAGGTTTTAATAAACTTTTTTTATTAAACAAAAATTAGAACATCGATGTACATTCTTATGCTGAATCAGCCATAACTCATGGTGATGAACAGTAAATTTCTATCGCCAACGATAACACAAAGCCGAATTATTATAAACATATCAGAGTTGGCAGGAATTAACATAATGGGTCTGTGAAAGACAGAAATGCTTTGTCTTACAATCATGAAACTGCAATTTAAACGCTATGTAACTGTTTTGCATTCCGGTGAGGAAATGGAAAGAATAAGTTAAAGGCTGAAATTATAAATAACTGATAAGTTTTGATAGATAACCTTACAAATGAGTGGTTGCATAGAAGTTTTTATGGTTTTCTCCATGCACATTATGAATATGAGTAAGTTTCCTTTAAACAGTAATCTATAGAAGCATGTGTTGCCTTAGGCAAATAGTCTTCATCCACTTTGCTGTAAACCAAATAATCCAATTCAGATTTAATCAGTCTAAAAAAACTGATATAAAAGGAAATAAATTTCATTTGACTGTGCATTAGTGATTTAAAAAAAGTGCTTACATTAAAATTGAATTTTAACTTCAATACATATTTAAAATCCTGATGAATTTTATAACTGAATATATTTCTTACTATTTTTTTAATATACGAGGGCCATCCAGGAAGTAGATTACGTTTCCGTCTGTGTTCGCTAGGGGCGGGGCTAGCGCGGCCATCTTGGGGTCAGAGCGTTGCGCAGCTCAGTCTGCATCTAGCCGTGCTAGTGAGAGGTTCGTGCTGTGCTCCGTTCAGATACTGTGACGGTTTGAAATGTCTGCGTTAATTGAAAATCCCGCGAGCTGCGAGGTGCGCTCAGTAATAAGGTTTCTGACTGCAAAAAACTGTAAACCGATAGAAATCTATCGGCAGCTTCGTGAAGTGTATGGGGACAACATTATCACTGAAGGTGGAGTGCGTCAGTGGGTCATAAGATTTCAAAATGGCCGAACCAATGTTCACGACGAAGATCGAAGTGGGAGACCCAGCATAGTGACCGCCGAACTTCTCGAAAAAGTCGATGCTAAAGTCCGTGAAAATCGAAATTTCACAATAACGGAACTTTCTTTGAGTTTTCCACAAATTTCGCGAAGTTTGTTTGAAATCATCAGCGAAAAGCTTGGTTACCACAAGTTTTGTGCAAGATGGATTCCAAAAATCTTGACAGAGGACCACAAAAATCAGCGAATGGCTGCAGCGTTGAACTTTTTGGACGCTTACCATAAGGATGGTGACTCTTTACTCGATCGCATCGTTACTGGTGACGAAAACATGGGTGAAACATGTGAACTGTGAAACGAAATTGCAATCAATGCAGTGGGGGCACACAAGTTCTCCCCAAAAACCCAAGAAATGCATGCAAACAATGTCGGCAAGGAAGATGATGGCGACTGTTTTTTGGGACAGAAAAGGTGTAATTTTGGTGGACTTCCTGGAAAGAGGCACTACAATAAACTCTCAAAGGTATTGTCCAAACTCTCCAAAAACTCAGAAGAGCAATTCAAAACAAGCGCAGAGGAATGTTGAGCTCTAAGATCTTGTTGATTCACGACAACGCCCGGCCCCACACGGCAAATGTCACTCGTAAAGTTCTTGAATCTTTTAAGTGGGAGTTGTTTCCTCATCCGCCGTACAGTCCCGACCTGGCACCGAGCGACTTCCACCTATTCCCAGCAATGAAGAAGTGGCTGGCTATGCAGCGTTTTGATGACGACGCACAGCTGCAAGAAGAGGTAACGAAGTGGTTGAAGGCGCAGGCGCCGAATTTTTCGACGAAGGAATTTCCAAGCTCGTACATCGCTACGATAAATGCCTTAATTTGTATGGTGACTATGTAGAAAAGTAGTATTTGAGTGTGGCTTTCATCTGTATATAATAAAATTTGTTTCCTATACTTTGTTTATTTTTTTATTCCAAAACGTAATCTACTTTCTGGATAGCCCTCGTAAGCATACCATTTTTATGTATATTTTATTCTAAATTTGTAAAGGTGCATTGTAGATGCTGTTTTTATTTATTTACAGTCTAAATGGAATCTGAAAATTATGCCCTTAAAATTTGGAACACCAGGTTCAAGGTATGTTTAGAACTTGCATTATTGATTTTAATGAATACTTCTTTTCTAAATTTGCTTACATTCATTATTGTAAATTTTGCTCTGTGTATTCAAATTTTGGTATAAATTGGGAGTCATTCTTTTGTAGTGATATTGAGATTGCACGAGCACAAGACTTGAAGAACATTGCAATTTTAGCCAAAGAAATAGGTCTTCTTCCTCACGAAATAGAACTTTATGGTGAAAGTAAAGCAAAAGTATCTTTATCTGTTCTCGAGAGATATAAATTCAGATCACCTGGAAAATATGTGGTTGTTAGTGGGTATGTTTTAGGTTGTTACATTTCTCTTTTTAATGCTAATTTAGAATTTATTTTATTTCACATTATTTATGAAACAGAACAAATTGAAAGAAATTTTTTTTGATTATATGTGTGATAGAAATTTAAATTGGCATATCGAAAAAATAATAAATCACTTTTTGTAATGCAGTTATATAAAATTTTAATATTTTCTGTATAAGTAAAAGGGCTGTAAGTATGGTATGGAAATTTGATATATATCTATCACATTATTTTTAATATTTGCATTAATTTACGCAGTAAAAAATAAATAATATTTTAGAAGAGACTTTCTTGTTAAAACAGCCAGCATATGAGCTTTTGGCAACATTTTCATGGTACAGCTTGGGCATTTAATTTTGCCAATTATGATAACATAAGCGTTTTCATCACTTTAACAAAGAAGCACTTTTTGGAGATAAAGTAATGTAATTGGCAGCTGGTTAAATATTTTAATTTTGGTAACAATTGCATAAAAAATGCACTTTTCATAGATATAAAGTATAATATGATTTCTCATTAAGTTTCTCATTATTTTATTCCTGCTCTGTTATTTCCTCATACAGATTAATTGTTCTGTATTTTTCTCATAGAATCATGATTCATTCTCCTGCCAACACCACACCAGTTTCTTTTTATCAGTTTAGTTAAAAAACGTTAAACCTCTTTTGTTGATTTTTTTTTTCTATTTCAGTATAAATCCTACATCATTAGGTGAAGGTAAAAGTACAACAACTGTAGGCTTGAGTCAAGCATTAGCAGTTCAAATGAAAAGAAATGTTTTTGCTACTTTACGTCAACCATCACAAGGGCCAACATTTGGTATCAAAGGTATCGCTAATATTAATCTGTTCATTTAGTGAGAATAACAGGATTTGCATTATTTTATTTTCTAGCCTTTTAATTGCTTGGCTGTCTTTAAATTGCTTATACCTTGGCAGTCCATGCTTAGTCCTTGGCTGCCTAAACATTTCATCAAATTTTTCTTTTATCTTGTGTTTCTTTTTAATTGTAAACAATATTCATTTTACGCTTTTGTTGCATTTCTACTGTATCTCTAGAAAATCAAGTAAAATGAACCCATTATATCACGTAAATTGAGGTGGGGAAGATATTTACAGTTTTTTAAGAAATCTTAACTAATCAAAAATGCATTGGTGAAAAAAGTTAGGAAATATAAAAAATATTAAAATTTTTTTGGAATTATTATAACATTAATATATGTTGCAGTACTTCATGTAAGATTAATCATTAGCAGAAAGATTTAAACGATAGATGTTCTTTTAAAATGATATAGTAATGAAGAAGCATGTAAAAGGATCGTACTTTCTTTAAGTGTTTTTGAAGAGGAAAAAAAGGGGGTTTGCTTATAAGACAATAAGGTGCATTCATAAGCTATCTGAGTCCTCCTTTTTTGTTAAAAGGAAATATATTTCCTGACTTGTGGGTGGATAGTATGGTATGTAAATTATTTAATTATATTTTTTTATTTATTTAACATACCAAACTAATATTGTATATTTTATCTCATATATAAGTTCTGCTCTTTTTTTCTTGTAAAATATCTTCAAAAATTCATTGCTGTCTGAAAATTTTTTATTTTTACTTCTCCCTAATTAAAGATACTTCTCATCCAAGCTAATATCTGACTGTATGAAGTCATATGTAAATAGATTTATTTTGTTGTCATATTCCTAATTATTTATGTGAAAATTTATTTGTAGATAAATTTATTTATATAAGATCATTGCATAATGTCATTCAGCAGCAACTCTGAAGAGCATTTGGCATTTTATTTTAGAGCAAGAGATGTAAAAAATATGCAGTTTTTCCTCACCTTAACTCCAGGCCTTATGACTGCTAGCTGGATGTGCTTTGTTACACCGTAAGCACAGGATAAGGAGAGAGAAAACCCTTACATTCTCCACCAGTGAAAAGATGACTTGACGGGGAAGGCCAAGATCCAATCACTAACCCTGGTGATGATGACTTATTGTTCACCACTTTAATTTGGCCGCCACTTGTAGACACTATTACGCATTTTATTTTAGAACAGGAGACATGAAAAATGTGCAGTAACATCACGGAGACTCGAACTCTTGACCTTCCAATTGCTAGTCTGATGTGCTTTCCACTTATACCATGAAGGCACGCAGTAAGGAGGGAGAAAAACCATATAGCTTTAGTGGTACCAGGCAGAGCCATGCTGAGGCTAATCTAGTGATGAAGAGTGAAGATGTGCATCATTTAGATTATCAGATGGATTCAATGAGATATAGAAATTTGTCTTCTTGTTAAAGAAAGAATCAAGAATATTTTGTCTCACCATTCTTTTTCTTTGATAAGAATTTGATGTTAAAGAGTTAATGCTTCTGTAAAAAAGTCACTTTCTCCATTTTTACTAATGTTATTATTGTACTCTTCTACCTGAATATATTAGCATGTGCAATGTAATTTTTAAGGTATCAGTTTATTTCCTTTACCTTAACAACTTGTTCTGCTTTATTTTGTGGTATGTTGTCTCTGAGTCTTATCAAATGCATCTAGATGTTTCATATATTCTTTAACTGAAAGGTCTTTCATTTTTTTCTTTGTTTTCTTTCTCAGTCCATGTTTTCATATGTATGTATCCATCAATATACCTTAAGTTTTATATTGCTTTTTGTACATATAGCGTAACTTATTAAGGAAAATAGCAGTTTTGTTAGCTTTCTTAGTATTCAAAGTTATATACTATTCATTCATTATTTCTTTTACTTGTTTGTGTAATACTTATATTATGTGCGATTCCATTGTATAAAAATTAGGAGCATATACCTAAAACATTTCATTTGATATTTGTCTTAGCTTAAACTAGTTTAAAATTCAATGTAACTATGTTGTGTATTTAATTTTTAAAGAAAAAATGAAAATAAAAATAAAGCATATAAAAAGATTTTTTTAGATCTTAAAATGCCATTAAATTAATATTTTTCTTAATTTGAATAATTTTTGTAATTGAAAGTACATGTTAGTGACTAATAGTTGCAAAACTAAGGCCATATAAGGACTTTTATGGACAATTTGTGTATTACCCAAATTGATTTCTCTACTTTTTCCTCATTCATAAATTTATAATGTTAATTATGAAATCTGAGCAAATTCCTATCCCTGCATTACCATCCCAGAGTCTGTATTCACAGCTTTCATATAATTCTTGTTTTTCATTGAAATATTTTAGGTGGAGCTGCTGGTGGGGGTTATTCTCAAGTTGTTCCTATGGAAGAATTTAACTTACATTTGACTGGTGACATTCATGCTGTTACTGCTGCAAATAATTTGCTGGCTGCCCAACTTGACACTCGTATTTTTCATGAAGCTACTCAATCAGATGAGGCATGCAATTTCTATACTTTTGGATTAGAATGTATTTTTGTGAATAAAAAAGGAAAACATTTCAGACTTAAAAAAAATGGTTTATTAAATCTTTTTTGTATAAGCTTAAGTTTTTATATAGTTCTACTCATTTTATAAATGTATCTTTTTATGACTCCAGAAAACTTACATAAATGTTTACACATTTAAAATCTAGATAATATTGCCATTGGTAGATCATTATTTAAAACAATTCTAATAAATATTTTTGTTGTTTCTTCTTAAAGCTATTATTTTGTATATTGGCATAAAGTTTTTTTTTGGGGGGGGGGAGAATAGAAATGGTTTTTTTATAGTCCCATGAAACAAATTTCTTTCCAGCTGAAAAATTACTTCACTAATTTCTGATTTATAAGAACCTATTTGCTTTCTTTGCTTGTAATTTATTGTATGCAATTATTTATGCTCTTTTATTATATGCAATATTGTATGCAATTTTATTGTGTGTAGTATCTTCTTAAACTGATAGTAAAGGTACAATATTTTAAAATATACTAGAGAACTACTAAAAGCATATAATAAACCTCTTCTAAAAAAGTAATTGTAAACTTAGGCAGTCAGTTTTTCTTTTATCTGAGAGAGCATCCCTTTGTAGCAACTGAATATTTTCTTCTGCTTTAGTTTACAGAATCTGTTTCAATCAAAGATAATTTTAGCAAAGTACCAGTGAGACTTGCATTATTTAACTGGGAAAAGTTTCTTTTAATGTCAAATTGTTGCATTCACAGTAGCTTTTTGTTTATAATAATTAACAATAATATTTTTGTTTGTATTTATAGTTATATCATCTTTTTGTTACAGCTTTATGGTTCATATATTTATCAAGTATTTAAATGCTTCTTATTTTTTTATCATTGCAGAGTCTATATCAACGGTTAGTAAAAACAGTTAAGGGGAAAAAAGTTTTTACAAAAATACAGCTTTCTCGTTTGCAGGTAAGTTAATTTGTATGGAAAGACATTTCTATTTTAAAAGCCAGTTTGCAATTTTATAGAAAATAATTTATTAGAGAATGATTTTATACATTTTTCAGAAACTTGGAATACACAAAACAGACCCAACAACTTTGGATAAAGATGAAATCAGTCATTTTGTGCGACTTGATATTGATCCTTCTACAATTACTTGGCATAGAGGTAAATTATATTTAAAATAATTCTAATAAATATTGTCGTGTAGGAACAGGCAAGTACTCAAGTCTAAACTCAAGGCTTTTTTTTTTAACTCGAACTGAATGAAGAGATACTTATACACAGCTGGTGAACATGCTGGAACATTCCAGACTCGAAATGTTCTGGAAGAATAAGAAGGAAATTTACATAAATAAGATAACATTAACAAGAAGGAAATATACATAAAAACCAATTATCAGGCATCTTGCCGTTGATGGACTTAGAACCCATCAATATTGGGCTTTCTTTCATCGCCTAGTTGTACTTTTGGATCAAGATATGGCTTCAATCTCAGTACGTGAACGATGTCTTTTGAATTCCGTTGTTTCTTATTTTGTTCCATACTTTCTACTTCGTACGTCACGTCAGAGAGCTGTCGTGTTATTCGATACGGTCCAAAGTAACGTCTTAGGAGCTTTTCGGATAACCCAACCTTTCGTACTGGAGTGAAGACCCAGACAAAGTCTCCGATGTTGTAGCTGACAGGTCGATGTCTCTCGTCGTATCGGCGCTTGTCTGTGGTTTGCGCTTTAAGAATATGGAGTTTTGCAAGCTGTCTAGCTTCTTCAGCTCTAGTGATCAGATGTTGCGCATAACTATCTTCGGGATCTTCGATACTGTATGGGAAAATTACGTCGAGAGGAGTCTGGATATCTCTGCCATAAATGAGAAAGAATGGGCTGAATCCCGTTGTGTCTTGTTTGGCTGAATTATAGGCATAGGTTACAAATGGTAGAATAGTATCCCAATTTTTCTGTTCAACGTCTACGTACATGGACAACATGTCTGCCAATGTTTTATTGAATCTTTCAGTTAAGCCATTGGTCTGAGGGTGGTAAGCAGTCGTCAGCAGATGAGACGTCTTGCATAGATGAATTACTTCTTTAACAACATTGGATAGGAAGTTGCGTCCTCGGTCACTTATCATTTCTTTGGGGGCACCATGCTTCAGTACAATTTCTTCAACTATAAACTTGGCAATTTCGGTGCCCTCAGCTGTCGGTATTGCCTTTGTGACTGCAAATCTGGTAAGGTAATCTGTGCAAACTATAATCCACCGGTTCCCATTTCGAGTAACAGGAAAGCGTCCAAGTAGATCTATTCCAATTTTGGTAAACGGTGTGTCAGGAGGTTTTATATCGGATGAAGCTGTCCTGGTGGACGTTGCGGCGGTGATTTCCGTCTTTGGCATTCTCGGCAGTGTGATACATACCGCCGTGTGCTTCCATATAGCCCTGGCCAATGGTACTTCCTCCTTATTCGGTCGTACGTTTTGGCAAATCCGAGATGGCCAGCGGTTGGAGCATCATGAAGACTTCTTAGAACCTCGCTACGAAGTTGCTTTGTTACCACCGGGAGCCATTGCTATCCCATAGGATCATAGCTTCTTTTGTACAGTATACCATTTCTTATTTGATAATTTTGATATGCGTCACCTCTCTTGAGCGTTGTAATGATGGATTTTAATTGTTTGTCCTTGTGCTGTTCTTTTCCGTAATCTACGATCGCCGCAAAGAAAGGATGTCTTCATTGTTTTCAATTATTGGTTCTATATGAGGTTTCCTTGATAGTGAATCTGCATCGGAGTGTTTGCGACCACTCTTGTAGGCAATATTTGTGTCGTATTCCTGCAAGTCTTCCGGATGAATCTTTAACATTGGCTAGCCAACATAGAGTGGTGATCTGTGACTACCGTGAAGGGTTTTCCCTAGAGGTATGGCCTGAATTTACAAATTGCCCAAATTGCGGCAAGGCATTCTTTTCCGGTGGTGGAATAGTTCCTTTCAGCTGCAGTAAGGGACCTGGATGCATAGGCTATTGAGCTTTCTTTACCATCCTGGATCTGAAGCAGTACAGCGCCGATGCCATAGCCGCTAGCGTCAGAATGTATCCTGGTTTCTGCGTCTGGAATAAAATGTCCCAAAACAGTGCCACTGGTCAGCAGCCTTTTGAGCGTTGCGAAAGATTCAATCTGTAACGCGTTCCAAGAAAATTTTGCATCTTTCTTCTTCAACAAGTCATGCAGGGGCTTTGCGATATCTGCGAAATTTTGGATAAATCGTCGGTAGTAGGAGCACAAGCCCAGAAAACTTCGGACATCGGCGATATTTTTCGGAATAGGGAACTTTGCTACAGCTACAGCCTCTACCTTTTGTGGATCGGGATATATCCCATGTTGATCGACTAAGTGTCCCAGTATAGTCAGCTTTCTTTTTGCCGAATGAACATTTCTTGGAATTTAGCGTCAGTCCTGCTCTTTGGATACATTTCATATTTCCCTCAAACGCTTTTGATGTTCTTCGAAATTAGGTGCGTACACGATTATGTCGTCGAGGTAGCAAAGACAAATATTCCATTTGAGACCTCTTAGTACCGTGTCCATCATCCGTTCAAATGTGGCTGGAGCATTGCATAATCCGAACGGCATTTGAAATTCATAGAGACCATCTGGAGTCACAAAAGCTGTCTTTTCTCTGTCTTTATCATCAACATCTATTTGCCAGTAGTCTCACTTCAGATCCATCTTAGAGAAAATTTTTGCACCAGCCAGGCAGTCCAACGCGTCATCGATGCGAGGTAGCGGATAGACGTCCCTTTTAATTACCTTGTTCAATTTTCTGTAATCGACACAAAAACGCCATTCACCGTTTTCTTCTTCACAAGCACCACTGGAGATGCCCATGGACTGACTGTCTGATGGTTGTATCACATCTTATTTTAGCATTCGTTGCACTTCATCTGCAATCACACACCTCTCAGTGGCTGACACACAGTATGGCCTTTGTTTGATTGGTGCACTGTCACCTGTATCAATCTTGTGCTTCACCGCAACTGCATCGGGATTTTTTCGCAGTACTGTTAATGTCACTAAATTCATCTAGTAGACTCAATAGCTCGTCTTTCTCAGCATTGGTAAAATCAGTATCAAAATTTCTTTTTTAAGTTTTCTTGAGATAAACTTTTCCTGGACCTATGACCCTTGGAACCTACTGGAGCCTGCCATTTAGGGAGCACATAGCGTCGTTTTTTATGGTTGTTAAACAGCCTACATTCATCCCTTTTGGTATCAGTTGGGTTCATCGAGAACAATTAGTTACCCACAATTTACCACAACCATTATCTATAGTGATAATTGAAGCTGGTATCGATAGTTCTTTTTCGCACATCAAAAATATATTTCCAACAATCATAGCTTCATCTGCTTCCCGTAGTTCTGAATTCAGGGCATATAATATTCGCTTTGCGATGTTTGCTTCAATTACATAATCGTTTGCGGCAAACAAGGAGGGCTTTGACTTATTTAAATATTCATTGTCTGAAAGGATTTCTGCAAGTGTAAGTTCTTGATTTTCACAATCGATAACAGCATCGGTGGCACGGAAAAAGTTCCATCCAAGTATCATTTAATGGCTACATTCTGGAAACGCAAGGAATTCAAACGGCTTCTTAGTCCCATTCAAATCAACTTTTAATACAGAGCGTCCCAAGGCGGCTACAGGTTTACCACAGGCAGTTTTCAATACAGGTGCATTCTCAGCAAACATAGGAGCATTTAGCTGTCAACGTAACTCTTCGAATATGACAGAATAATCGGCACCCAAATCAACAAGGGCTTTCACACACTGTCCATTCACGGTCCCCCCCCTCCCCCGGGGTTGACTATGGCGAATGCCTGAGAAGTACTGGTAGGTCTGTACCTAGGCAGTCTCAACCATGGGGGCATAGTAACAGACTTCATAGAAGGCCTTCTCGGGACAGAGTAAGGCTCGGCAGGGACCGTACTGGTACTGCCTTGTCTGCCCTTGCTCTGTGGGGTCACTACATGGAAATTGATCCAATGGTGGGGCGGTCTTAATCCTGTTTGGCACCCTCGAGGTTGCATTAGGTCGGAAGTCACATCGGTATATTCTTTCAATGTCGCACCAGTGTAGCATAAGTGATTTATTCTAGCGTAGCATTTCTTCAACTATTAGTTCTTTTTCCTCTAACACCCCATGGTTATTTTTGAACATACTACTTGTTGTATATATATATATTCTTCAAGTTTATTATAATGATTCTATATATATTTTTTTCTTCGAGTTTATTATAATGATTCTCACATTTCCTGTTTTCTATTTTCAGTAGTATTTTTAACGCATAGCGCGTTAGAATGTCAACTGAGTAGTTTCTCAATTATAATCTAATTCGCTTGTTTATATTTAGTTTGATCTATCTTCGACTAATCAATCTCATCAATTCATATGGTTTTAAATTGTAATTAAAAAAAAAAAAACTTTGAAATCCTTTTTTCTGTTTTGCTTCTATATTCATATTTCCTTTAAAGTAAAAAGGCTTACCTTTTAGTCGATCTTCTTTCTAATCCAAAGGCATATCCGGGAGTGTTTTTATTTCATTCATCGATGCACTACTCACAGAAAGAGAGAGGCTTCTAAGATAATAAGATATTTAATTTACAATCACATCACTAAACTAAAATATATAGTATAACACAGAAGAGTAGGATTACATGTTTCACTCAAACGTCCATCACGAGTTCTCAAAGTTCAGTTAAAAAAGTTTTAGTTTAATGTTTTAGTTTTTGCTGCACACATGCGCAAATCACGTGGTTGTCGGTGAGAGTTTCAACATACTCCCAGCTTTAAATTTGCTGAAAAATCAAATTTAAAACTGTAACATTTGAACAGGCTTTACCATTCGACCAGTTCTTGTAATCATCGATGGAATCTTTTCGCTATTAAGATCTTGAGGCAAGTCATTACGAATATCAGGATCGCAGTAAGTCTCTGGTTCACCAGAAGAGCTGCTTGCCACATTTCTAAATCTAGACTATTCATCTGATGATGTTATCTCCAAAGGATACAAACACTTGGTTGGTCGCAAAACTTCTCCAAGCTTAGTCTTGACCTTAACTAAACGCACATGTCCATCCATCCCGAGATTTGAAAATCCTCGGTTACTTT